AGCATTAGTCAAGAGCAGTTGTAGATCCCGGTATAATTCGTCCTTGACCGAGTTGTCACTGCAGTCAGTTGGAGCGTACACGGAGATCACAAACAAGTTGTGTCTCTCTTCGCTGTGCCTGTTGATTCTACATGAACCCCGAAGCCGAATTGCACATAGTCGGCAGTTAATAGGGAACCAGTCAAGTAGTGCCGCCTCGGCCATCTCACTTAGTGCTACACCTACACTAGCCAGACCCGCTGAAGCTGCTTCTGGATCTCCAGAAAGACACAAATGATATCTGGCTTCGTGGTCAGTGGGAAATGTCAATGTAAGCACAGTGCTGGGATCTTGCAATCGGGTTTCTGAAAGGCAGTAGACATCAATGTGTAGGGAATCTAGGGTGCGCGCTAGACCGGCACAAGAAAAGGAAATGAACCGCTCAGCACCGTTATTTCACACACCAGGCTCCGATGGCTCGGCCACGTGTTACGCATGCCAGCCCACCGACTCCCGCGACGTGCGTTATTTGCGCGCCGGGGGTGTGGATGGAAGAAGAGAGGTGGCCAAGTGATGACTTGGTCGAGAGGAATGAAGGTCATCACTCCTGAGCTGGCCTCGGCTCCCTGGTTGGAGTCCGAAAGACGATGAACACGTCTGGCTAGATACACTTGCTGATATGGCTAGGAGCCGATCTCAGTGGCGTTGGTGCTGTGAGTTTCTTTGTTCCACCCCATCCCTCTTAGCCTCCCCCTCCAACAACGATCTCATTATTTAACCTTATATAATTTTGCATAGTAATTTTTTAATGCACAGTAGCCGGCTGCTAGCTTACCGGAATGATGCCCATCCGTTACCGGTAGCTCAGCCGGCTTGCACCAGTTGCTTTGTTTCTCCTTTTTTCTATGTATTGCAGCACATTAGCTGAGGTGTTTCCCACCTCTGGCTAACGTGTATTTAAAAAATGGCGCTAGACCTCGTCAACAGCATACTATCACAAATAGCTGGCTATCTTGTAAAGATAAGGAGACATCAGCGAGACATCTTCCTTGCGGATTTCACTGCCCCCGTCATACTTAAGCCATTACCCCGCAGATAACTCAGCATCAAACACACTTAAAACACGTAATCCGAATAGGAGACCACAGCAAACACGCCACTGGTGTCGAATGCGAACAATACCCTCTAATTTCTCAAGCCAAGAACAATGCGAACCACGTGGACTCCAGCCCGGAAGGCGAGACGGAACAACGGCACTCAGTTTGGTCGTCAGTAACTTTATTTCTCGCTGCCAAGTCAAGTTGTGTCCATCTGCAACCTCTCGTTGCCCTACATCTGGCAAACAAAACAAGACTCGCCGTGGCAAGCGATGACTAAGTATACGTAGTAAGTGTCAAAGACAACTCATTCAGGCGCAAGTTTCGCCTGAGGATGCGGCGGCATTCTTCCTCGTCCTCACAAATGGTGAATCAGGATAAACAGGCTGCTCACACTTCAAGCAAGGCCGGCGGTTCCTGCTGCGGCCTGCGAGTAGCCTACACAAACGTATGCAGTGTTATGAATAAGCGCGACGAGCTTTGTTGTTTTGTTGCGTATGAACGGCCAGACGTAGTGGGATTCGCAGAGACATGGCTGCATTCAGTTATACACCCAAAAACTTGAACACAACGGTAACTCGTGCTTCCGATGCGAAAGACTAAAGAATGCCCGCGGTGGAGTCTTGTATTACATCCGGTCTTCCTTGCATGGGAGACTTGTGAACACCTACCGAAGTGAAGATGGTTTGTGTGAGCTACTGTGGTGCTCCATTCGCCCCAGGCATGAAGAACTACTTGTAAGCGCAGTTGATCGTAGCCCCATGAGTTGTCGTTTGGATTGGCTGCCCCATCTTCGAACCCACATGAGTCGTCCACACTTTCCACTTATGGGCGATTTTAACTGTCCCCGTATACGATGGATTGATGTGCATTTGATGCCTGGACATAGTGAGGTTGAAGCAAAGTTCGTGGATTTGGTACTTGAAACTGGTGTATCGCAACACATATGCCAGCCAACACGCATAACAACACGCTCAACCCCGTCCTGTCCCGACCTGATGTGAACGAGCTACGAACGAGTGCGTGACGTTCGGATCCTGGAGCTCCTGGCTAGCAGCGATCACTCAGTGCTCATAGCTGATATGGAATTACCTTTGCCGTATTCACGTCCGCTAGAACCAGCTTACAACTACTGGAAAACGGACTTCGATTGTCTAGCTAGAGCCGCGAGCCAACTGGATTGGTCACTTTCACAAACTGCATATGTGGAAGACTGTAGGATATTTATAAAAGAGATATTGACATCACTGTTCCCAATTTGTGCCATTAAAATGTCAGAAGGTTGGACCGATTAAGCCTCATTGGTTTGACAACGAGTATGGAAATCTGGCTCGGAGGCGGCGCAGACTGTGGGACAAATTCCTCCTCTCTGGCTCTGCCAATGATTACGAAGGGTATAAAAGTCAGCGGAACCTCTGCAACAGTGCAAAAAGGAATAAGCGCCGACATTTCAAATATCTCGAAATCGCCACGAAGACCACCCCAAAGAGAATCTCTGCTTACGTGAAGCGACGCCTGAAGCCGACAGGTGATGTGCCAGTGCTGGATGGCCCGGATGGACAGACCCTAACCTCCAGCACTCAGCGTGCGTTCGCGTTGGCGGTGCACTTCGCTTCTGTATTTGCAAATGACCAGGTGTCTGTTCCGAGTTCGACGTACACCGCTTTTACCGAACCCGACAGTCTGGATCGCGGCGTTGAAGAGGTATGTCAACTACTCACCAACCTTGACGGCACCAAACCCGCCGGACCTGATGGGCTTCACCCACTGGTTCTCAAGTCACTTTCGACCATCATCTCTCCTGTCGTGACTGACCTTTTCAACAGGTCGCTGTAAGAAAGTTCGTTGCAGACTGATTGGAAATGTTCCGTGGTGAAGCCTATTCCGAAATGCGGCGACCCTAGCAAAGTAGACAACTACAGGCCAATTTGTTTGACACCTATTTTGCCAAAGGTTGCTGATAAAATCGTGAAGAAGAGATTGCTGCAGTTGCTACAGTCAAAAGAGGTCCTGACGCCCGCACAGCACGGTTTTATGAAAGGACGCTCATGCATTACGAACCTGCTTGTGACGAGGCATGAGTGGTTGAAGGCAATAAGCAAGGGGAAGTCTGTCGACGTGATATTCATCGATTTCAGTAAAGCATTCGACAAGGTCAGTCATAAGGTTCTCCTTCACAAACTCAGGATGTGTGGTGTCGGTGGCTCACTGCACCGGTGGATCCGCGACTTTCTTGCTGGACGAAGGTGGAGGGTAGAGGTCGACGACCATCTAACTGACTGGTATCCCTCTACAAGTGGCGTGCCTCAAGACACTGTGCTGGGGCCCACTCTGTTTCTGATCCACATCAACGATCTACATCAGCTTCTCCGGTCGCCGAGTGTCTTGTTTTCGGACGACATGAAGATTTGGAGAGAAATTGTTGCTTCCGACGAGTGTGGCCTACTTCAGCAAGACCTCAACCGCCTATCCACATGGTCTGCAGAAGTTCATCTCCCGGTCAACCCAACCAAGTCTGTATCTATCAGCCTGGGGAAGGGTGTTGACAGCCGAACCTACACCCTTGAAGACCAAACGCTATATCCCACACCTGCCGTGAAGGACCTAGGTGTACTCACTCGCTACGATTTGAAGTCCGTGGACAACACGAATAGGCTATATTGTAACGGAGTGCGCATGCTTTGGGTCATCAAACGTAGTTTCGGCAAATGGTCTGAAGAGGTTGCTATTTGCCTCTTCTCTTCCATCATTAGACCAATGCTAGAGTACGGTTTGCCCGTGTATTTTCCGGTTACCCGAGACGACGCACAAAAGACCGAACGGGTCCAACACATTGCTACCAGTCTCATCCCGAGTTTACGTGGCTTGGGGTATGAAGACCGGTGCGAGAAACTAGGACTCTACACCTTGTCCTATCGTCGGGTACGAGTCGACCTCATTGTGACCCACCGTATGCAACATCTCGGTGACTTCCCCATGCTGAGGTCAATGCTGCACTTACGAGGGCCATGCAGTACACGCGGACGCAGATACAAACTTGTCGTGCCGGGTGTGAAGCATGTTCCCCACCCACTGTGCTTCGAACGGAGAGTGGTAAATATTTGGAACAGTTTACCTGAACATGTGATGGAGGCAACATCTGTGCAGCAGTACAAAACGTTGTTAGATTTATATTTTACCACTATTTGGTTCAGAGAACGATTGCACACGTACGATGACATGTCACATTTGTGAGTCCTACAATACCGTGAGGCAGATATTGTAAATGTTACATGAGAACAATAACGATATTCACGGCTGACGACTTTTATAACATTTTCACCATATTTCGAAAGAGTGGTACAGAATTCATTTCTACTTGCTCTATAATACAGTATTCAGTTAGATGGTGTTAATCACATTGTAAATCCCTCCCTTGGTGAATGGAAATTTAGCGACGATGTGAGTCAAAGCAGCTGGCTCCACGGCAGTTCAATGCCTAACCAAATGGTTGACTGAGCAGCTTAATGACTCAGGGCAGTTTACTTGGTCCAGGTAGTAGACCAACTTGCTCGCCACAAACAATAATGATACGTTTAAGCATGTTCGGTTATGAGAGTTACGTTGATACAATCTGTCAGTCTAAGTAACCAGCTTGTTGGTTAGGCTTCAAGTTAGTGAATTGGAAAGAGGACGTAAACAGATGACGTGGACCATAGTCGGGTGCTCAATCGCTGCCACGCAGGCAGCAAGGTGAATGCAAAGCAACAGTGCGTAGCGCGCGAGAATCGAGTGGTAGAATTGATGATCTAGGATGCAAAAGGTTGGGGAGGCGTGTATTGAGATACAAACCGGTGGTGTGATTGCAGCACGGTTGATATGCTTGTACAAAGAAGAAAGTAGCCATTTCACACATAGTATGGCTGTCGAAGAAAGAGAGCTTACCCCGTTCCATGAAGGGAGTATGGTCATCGTCATATGACGATTGGCTGTGACCGTCAAAATATTTGTGTTTCCCATCGTCATTGCCCCGAAGTAGATCGGCACTAGACATCAGACGTTCTAAGGAACTCAAAGAGAGGTAGATGAGAACATAGAAAGTGGTACCTGCGCAGGTAGACAATATGAATCTTTGAGAGCCGCAAGAGCTATGAATGATGTATTTTAAATCAGATGGTTGGGTGGGTTGGATGGAACAGCTGGAAGGAGGTCACGTTCCTCACCTTCTTCAAATGACTGGTAAGGAGATAGGCTAGAGATGTCAGTAGAAGCAAAGAGTATCAAACTCATTCATCGCGCTCCAGTCAAATCAATAAAATCCTTTAGCTAGTTGCAACAACCGAGGGCGAAGTGAAAGTGATGCAGTAATTCAAATTTGCTGAAGGCATAATCGACCAGTAGAATAAAATGTATTGACTTCGTTGGCATGATTGGATCTGGGGATGAAACTCTGATAAACGAATACTATTGATGTTCTAACATCGTCAAGAATACAAAGATAATGCAATAATAAAAGATTGGATCAAGCGATTTACATTCAAAATGCGTAGCAGTGGTCAAGAGGTCACGGTAACCTCTCCGAGATCCTTATCTACACATCCCCCATAGAAAAGGACAACCACTGAGATTGCGGGTCGCAATCCATTCACACGACCAGTGATTCGAAATGACCCTTCTATCAGTTAGTAACCATTGAGCCGGGCGTTGATCGTCATGACTCAGTAGCCAAAGGGGTAGGGGTTTCGATTAGCAATCTGAGAACCCGGGGTTCGAGGCCTGCTGTGTCCACCTAATGAGACAAATAAGGTCGAAATGCGTTGTGGATTGCAGTGCTTTCGAACGAGCAACACCCAATTTTCATCTACGACAACCATACAAGCTTCTATTAAAAAAGTAAGCAGCCGAATGCAACCGTAAAGCTTGGAAACTAAATCCTTGATAAGACCACCCAATTGGTCTTTGCCTCGCACTGCTGAGGAATAAAACGTTTACTTATTTATTTATTTATAAGAGTATCGTACGGTCACGCGAATCTGATGATAATTAGTGTGATATATTACGAGAAAGCTGGTTGAGAACTGAAGCAATACAAAAGCGTAGTGCAGAGAAAATACAGTTAGAGTTAGAGAAAAAATGCGCTTGAGAAGTGAATCTAGTTGCTCATCGACCATTCATCATTTTCTGTCTGGTCTCAGTGCACGGAGATAGTATACATCCTTGTTCTCCAACCATGGCCAGCGATCGGAAGGATAAGGTGCCTGTCTTGTAATTTAGAGGTCAGTAGTTCGCATTTACGCACGTGAGCGCGATCTCGTAGTGGTGGTGGTCGCGTGACAGCGAAGCACCTGTACGGCACCCGGGTTGATGTCTGCCTTTCAGTCAAGATTCCATCTAGCAATTTCCGTCTGGGTGAAAACGAATTAGTATGCTACTGGTAGACGTACTCCAAAAACTTTATCTGAATCGCTACTGGTAAGAATCATTGCATCCATTAGTAAGTATAGGACGTTGCTCCTAGTCACTTGTAAGTGCGCCCAACGTTTCTTCAATCGACTGCAAACGCTAGGCTTGAGGCTCTCCACTCATAGCTGTTCGGTGGTGGTGAGATGCGGCCGAAAAATCTCGTGAACAACTGATTAGCAATTTAGCCCAAGTAAAGGTGCGCAAATGTATCGGGAGTAAATATATGGATACATCCGGCTGTACTATGGGCGGAGTCGTCAAAATGTGCAATGACTAAGTATGGCCATTTGGAGTAGACGGAAAGTACTCCTGATTTTCTGTTGCTGACAACTTCCGAATCACCTCCAAGGGGCCCACGACAAAAGTTATTGCTACTGTTCCAACCCATTCAATGAAAGGTTTTGCACGTGAAGTTGGTACATATATCAGCTGGGGTTATACCGGTGGATGAGGAGGGTAAATAAAGCCAATCAGATACAATAGCAATAGTTGGAATAAAGTTAAAATTGCCCACTGCATTGCGAAACAGAAAGAATGTGCCCTGAAAATAAGCGTGATTTGTGTGTACCGAAGTTCGGTCAAAGACCCATCGGTGTCCACTAAGATAGTCTATGGCGGAGCTGTATGCTATCGGGCGCGTCCCCATGTTGCGGATTGGGAAATGCCTTCCTTGTGGAGTTAACTGCGAATAATTCTCGCTTGCCTTGCAGGCGACCTGGATAAGCAGAGCGTGAGGTGTTCTGTGCTAGTCATCTGGTTCTCCATCAAATACTAAGAGAGCTCGTACGGCGCTGTGTCAAAGCCAATGTGACCGGGCTATAGGGTCACTGACCACTCATTTCTGTACCCAGATGTGAGTACCTAACGGAAGGCGCATGAACAAACTTGTTGGCCACCTGCTTCTCTGTGGACTGCTACGGAACACAAATAAGGCGAATGAGCTACGCGGAGGTCAACGGTCTTCGCTAATCGCCCTACTGCCTTGCGTGTCAAATCTTTATGACCAAAGACTAGGGGTGCAGTCCCTTAATTCAACCGCCTTCCTCAGCTTAGGCAACTGGGAAGATCCCTGTATACAGAACGTGTAAACCTTTTTAACTCTTCCACTGACTACCTGCTTTCTCCATATTTGTTGTTGTTAACTGTGTTGTGGCACTGCCAATTGTAGATTGCTCAAGTGTTGAATAATAATGATAGTAATAATAATAATAAATAAATAAATGATTATTTTCTCCGTGATACGCAGTCCACACCCTTGTGTAGCAGAGATCCAAGAAATGATAATGCACTGATACAAGTCAGATTTTAATAATAAGCCTCGTGGTCCCAAGAATGGAGTTCAATGATTATAGAAATCTCTCTATTGTTCAGCGAAGGTTGCATTTAGGCACCCTAACAAAATATCTGAGTTAATAAAGTGCGTTGTGACTGCTTCTTGTAATCGACTGTTTGTTAGTACGTGGGAATTTATAATCGAAAGGTATAAATGTTGCTGAATGTGCGGTTCCGGAGGGAAGGCGTGAAACATGTTAAGACATACAAACAGTTTCGTTCTTAGTCGATGAACTGTTTTCTCCATTGCATCGCCATGGGCGTGGCTCACTTCAACAGCGTGCGGCTATCACAAATACTTGCCAGTGAAAGAGGTCACCAGCTCAACCGGCCGTCGCAAGTTGCCTCTCAAACGCACAAGAGATTCACCCGAATGAAATTTTTCGACCATGGTTTGTAATAAAACTGCCGGATATCCTACGGACCAATGTGTCTGTGGTTCACATTCGAGCCAAATAGGGGCTTTTGGGTTGTCTCACCTTGGTAGATCAAAAGTGAAAGCAAATATAAGAGGTGCGTTATTCAGTTAGTAAAAGGCTGATTCCCGCGTTTGCCAATCACCTAAACTGTGGACGTAGAGCAATGACGAAGGGCTCGCGCCGCAGGCTGGTTTGCCGAACAATCTCATCATGGTGCCCGCTGGATGGTTCGAGTTTATCCAGCTTCAGCAAATGGTTCGGCGACACTTTTCCCAGACTTGGTGGGTTTCCGCCTGACAGGCGTTCTTCTTACAAAAAGTCACAAATGTTTGTTTAACAAAACTGTGACGTGGGGATATGACTAGCCTTAGTGTTCCTTGTTAATCCGGATAAGCACATCCACCCCATGAACGTCAGTCATCCAACTCGAAGATTTCCTTTGATCTGTTCTCATGCAGACGCCCGACCGATCAGACACAAATACAGCGATGCACTAAAAAATTCAAGTGATGGTGTCACTCTTTATCATGGGTTCATATGAGTCGTCCTTTATGAAAGCGAATGGACAAAAAATAGATGAGTTGGCATGCCAAACAAGTAAATTTTGCTGAGTTGACTTTGCCGAATAAACGTTTGTTCCTGAAGGACTGAGTTCCGTAACGTGGTGTCAGCGGTGAATCGTGCAACGTGCATGATTGATTGGAGTTCTACGTGTCGCCGCTGATTGGCTAATAGTTGGTTGCGCTGGAGTGAGTTTGTTTGATCGAAACAAAAGAAGAATTTCATGAATGCAGAGGCGTGGTTAGTTATGTAAGTGGCTTAGTAATATACACTGAGGCTTCTACAGGGTAGCTAAGCTGTCATTTTCGCTGAGATTGCTTTGTTGAATAAGAGGGTCCCGGAAGGACCGAGTTATGCGACACTGTCGTTATACGCCTCTCGACTGAGAGCCAGCTATATATATATATATATATATATATATATATATAGCAACAGTTTAGGAATAGACATTGAGCCATCGGAAACTATGGAACTCAAAACAAGGTACAGAAATAGTAAAATAAAACACAACACAGCACATCAAAGTCCATGGTTTTGTCAGAGGGCGAGATACTACCCGATTGCCCAAGCCGAAGTAGGGTGTGGACTTGGGGGACACCACCCCAAGCCTTTGGCTGAATAGCCTGTCCGCAAGGCAGCGGAGCGAATTCAGGGAATCGCGCCCATTGGGAGCCGGTGACTGATTCCTCAGTTCATACGCCTTTCGTTTGTTCCTTTGTCAAACAGGGGCCCAATGCTCTCTAGAATTACAGCACCAAGCTGCTGGAATACAATGCTTCGCCAGGATGAAGCAAGGGGCAGTGACTTTATTTAGTGGCGAGTCACGTCCGCCACGTCACAGTGTTGTTAAACGGACATAATTGGTTTTTTATAGGGAGAACGCTTGCCATGCGAAAACCCACCACGTCCTGGAACACTGCCGCCGAAACATTTGCTGGAACGGGAAAATCCCGAACCACCCAGCCGGTACCAGGAGGAGGTTGTTCGGAAAGCCAACCGAGAGCCACCTATGTCTACCGTGATTTAGCACTTCTTCTGTGTTCTTCCTCACTGAACGTACTGCTGTTCTGTGTTTTGTTTCTGGTCTTCTGAATAAGCCCATTAAAACAACTGCCAGGTCAATGGGACATTTATCCCGATATAGCGACATTCCAACGTTTACTTTCGTTAACGTAATGGTTCCGTACACATCATTTCTTGTAAAAAGATGGTGTCAAGGATACTTGCCAGCGAAAGCCACCCTTTCGTAATGTACTGTCTGAATGTTAGTCAACTTAGCCTATCAGCC